TCGTCCTTTTTCAAAACGACATAACTTTTTTGTTTCTTGAACGATTTTATTTTGATTTGTGATGTCTGCTAGCCCCATCCTCTGGCAATTCATGCTATAGATATGAAGATCACGGTTCTTCAAGTACCTAAATTTTGTACAGGGTTATATCGACCCATGCAACGAAGACTATAGGAACTCAAAAAACGTGGGTTTTGACTTACTATATGGCATCAACAGATTTTTTCAAGCTCTATTTGGTGGAAGATTACAGTAACTCATACATGAAACGATAGGCAACCAGTGAACAACTTCCCTGTATAGTAAGTGTAATAATCCACATTCCTACAGGAAAAAACTATATTAAGTTGAGTTACTCTAGTTACAATAGTCTTCGTTGCATGGATCGATATGTAAAACGGTCAAAAATTTAAATAACTTCATCCAAGCCCCCGTACTTTGAATTAATGAAGTATTATGTCTTACCTTGAAAAGGTTTTCAAATCTTTCGTATTGGAATCTTAGCAAAGAAAATATGATTTTTTTTTCAAAAGACTACATTTAAGGCTTTTTGGTAGACAATACACTCAGTCTTTTTAAGAACAAGAAGATAAGATGGTAAAAGATTGTTCCTTGAATAATTCTGAACAAGCGACAAGTAACAAACTTCCATTATTTTCAGAGGGGCCTAAGCAAAGACCACTTTTTCAAAATAACATTTTGGTGAAAATTTGCGAAAACTAATCCTGAACCGATATTTACGTTCGTGACATGTTTTCTTTATAATTTTGACCTCCTGATTGTGATTCAGTTGTCAAATTTAAGTTTCAGATAAAACCAAAATCACTAAGAATCAAAATTCGAAAACAATTCCCGGCTTTTAAATGTCTTAATAAAATCAGATTGCTGGCGTGTTTCTTGCATATTTATGATTAAAATGCCATTTGGAGATTCATTTTTTGGGCGAAATTACTGAAATTTGTTTGAGTGGTTAGGATAATGTTACAAAACTTACATTTACATTGCGCACTAGTGATAACTTATCACTGATAAGTACCTACCTAAGGTAATAAAGTTAAATAAAAATATTTTTGTTCATTTTAAAAAATTGTATATGAAGATATAATCCTAATCAAAACTCCAACATTCAACGGAAAAATGTACCAATCAATAAAAATAATAACTTTCAATATTTCGTTGGCCCTCCCCTAAATAATTCGTTAACCCTTCTGGGCCTCGACCAAGTATCCCATTCTTCCTCAATAGCATTTACCAATTCAACAAAATTTTTCATGCGTCCTTCTCTCTCTTTTATCTTCAGTTTCATCCTGCTCCACATATGTTCAATAGGATTCATATCCGGAGACAAAGGTGGCCAATTAATTCTTTTAATATGGTGGTCCCTTAAATACTCATTTATGATATTGGCGCGGTTTGACGGGCATTGTTGTCTACCAACACCAATTATTGGCAATATTTTGAGCATAAGGGACCATGATATCACTAACAACCAAATCTTTGTATCTCTCAGCATTCACTCTTTCCATTAATCTCCATTTTACCTACTCTTTCCATTAATCTCCATTTTACCCCAAGCCACCCTTGCCTAATCTGTTTGTCGGAACCACTATTTTTTTTACATATTTTACAATGCAAAAATATCCGAAAAAACATATTATTTGAGGTTAGAAAAACACCTCCGGATTCGGATTCAGCGACCCAAAACACATTTGATGTGACTAGGTACTTTACTAAAGTAACTTTAGTTCGTCGGACATTCTACTTTTATTATTTTGTATCATGCAAATTAAGATAATACGCATTACAGGCAATCAAACATTACGAATTTATTAACGCCCTATATTATGTTTCAGATATTTTGAACTTGGCCTAATTATTACAGTTTTATAAATAAATATATTAATCTTTATTTGTCAGCCTATTAAGCCCATTTTTCATTGCCAAAACATCTAAATTAATTGATGAATATGGCTAATTGAGACACAAAACAGATTGATCTTAATTATTTATTTAAAGAAATATTTTGAACATGATGGATGATCCAAAATAAACATGTTATGTTGGAGACATATAGGGGCTTTTTTAAATAAAGGCATAAAGTATTAACTATAAAAGATTTTTTTTCCTAAATTTGTTTTACATTCTTGTAGGACCTTTAGTTCTATATTAAGCCTCCCCTAATAGGTTCTACCCACGTTTTAGTACTTAATAGGTACGGAACAAATTTATTCACTTCCCTGCACTGTTATGTAAAGATGTATTAAAAAGAAGATTTATTGTGTTTTACATAAGAAGAACTTTTGACTGATTTTTTGGAAAATAAATGTTTTATGTTTAAGAGACTTAAATAATGAAATTATTTATTTATTTATTATATTATAAGTAGGTTAAAATATAACTAAGTATGTAACTGTAAAATATGAAGGAAAGGAAGAACCGCCACTGATCACATTTATGATGTCTTACCACAGAGGTGTGTGTTTCACAACTGACAATTAATCGTTTCTTTGTTACTGTTACAGTGGTTAATTTAATAAATTTGGAAATTTTGTGATATAAGGGAATATTCTTGTACTAAGGCTGGTTTAATTTTAATTACGTTCGAATATTTTCTGCCAAAATCTCTTTTTGCGGCGCTATTACCTTACCGACGGCGGAGTAGTGGTCAGTGCTGCTGCCGAGAGGTCGTGGGTTCGGTCCTTCAAAGGAAAGAATTAAGGCCCGATGTCCGTTCTGGGACTTCTTAGGAAGTATATGTATATATACCTATACTGTATGTAGGTACCTATAGGTACCTTTTTGCCAGAAATAAAATACTAAATTATTTAAAATTATCTAATAGGGTATTCCCTAATTGATAATAATACTATCTTTATTAATTTTTATTGCATTATAGTGTAGTTTAATGAGGTTTAGTTTTCCCTGTATATCTACTTATAATTCATAATGGAAATGCTGAATTGTTAAAATTTATCATGGAAATATGAGTAGAAAAAGGCCAAAAAGAATTCCTTTGAATAAATAAGTGCCGAGTGTGAAAATTAATTTTATTTGTTCATGTGCTAATAAAAAATTGAAGATGCTAAAATGTTTTTTGTCCATATTAACATGAATTTTAAAGTTAAGTTTACCTAATAAATAAATAAATAGTCATAAACAACGAGGTTTTTGTTAATTGTTTATTTTTATTTTTAATTAAATTTATTTTTAAAGATTTAAGCAGGTATACATAAATGGTTGTAAATTGCTTATAGAAAGTGATAGATTCACATTAAGCATAATGATCGAATTGAGTATTATGAATCCCATGAGTTTAAGTGAAATTAATGAATTATTGTTATACTTTCGATAAATACTAAATTTCAATTAAAGATAAGTTTATTTATACAGGGTAAATTTGATGTAGATATTTTAAGAGCGTATTGTTATTGTAAAAATAAGACTTTATTCTCTATAACCATGGTTTTTTAGGACACATGCATGTGTTACGCTACAAAAATCTATTATTTAAAATTGTGACTACAGTGACGGATCAAATCTATTTTGTAAATTTTCATGACCCTGTTTTTTTAAATTTTAACTAAATAAAATAAAAATTGACAAAATGGCAGTCAAACCAACTGCGCTTTATATTTCGGTCATTTTCTAGAATTGAATTAGTAAAAAATGACAAATTGTCCTAGCGAAAAAGCAGGCACTAATAATTCTCTTTGGATTCAGGGGACAATTTTACATAAGAATTGGCTGTTAAATGTCCGGAATAGAAATGTTTGTGAACTTCAGTTATAAGTGGCTGCTTTTTCACTTTGAAAACTAGTAATTTTCGACTAATTTATTTTTAGAGAGCTTGATCAAATATTTCTTCGAAAAAAATTATGCAAGAACGTTTTTTTTGTTAACATTTTGTTAAACAGCTCGCGGATAGGTAGGTATACTGTTTTAAAATTTCCGAAAAAAAACACAAAAATGGAAAAATTTTCAAAAAAAAATACCTATACTAGGAAAAAATACCTATACTAGGAAAAAAAGTCAAGGTCATTTTTTTTTAAATTCACAATTTTTTTGTTTTTTTTAGGAAATTTTAACACCATATAGTTTTCGAATTTAATTGTTCACTTTTTGTTTGCAATTATCCTGTTTTAAAAGTGTGGGACAATTTTTAACCGAAATAATGAATAATCTCAAAAACTGTTCTACTTTTAACTAACTGTAAAATTTTGTAAATTTCATAAAAATCTGTTATATTATAGTCAATTTTCGGTTATATTATAGTCAATTTTCCATATAATATGGAATTAAATAAATCTCAAAAACTGCTCTACTTTCAAATACGGAATACAAATTGCTTTGGACTTATTCATTTTTAGATGATACTACGAATAATATACCAAAAGTTCATTTTTATGCAAATTTTTTTTAAAAAGGCCAAAAAAACATTGAAACAAACGATTTTTTTTCTCTAGCTGTGTTTAAAAGGCCAAAAAAACATTGAAACAAACGATTTATTTTTTTCTCTGCAATGTGTGAATAAAATGTTATGAACGGCCTTTCGAAGTAAAAATTTATTTATAAATAACATAAAAAATGCTCCTTTTATTAAAATGTGTGTTTTTCCCAAAAAGCCCAAGGCTCGGAGAAAAGGGAAACTTCAATTATCCGGTATCACCCTACGCTTAAAACACTACAGAAAACTGACCAAAATAACATAAAAATAAATTATATTGAAATTTGTTTCACACGTACATATAAATTAATTATATTAAATAAATTTCCAGCAAGCAACCTACTTCCACAGTCGCATTGAAAAATTAATCGCTCGAATCCAAACAAAGACTGATAAGGGTACGCATATTTGCTTTGCACATTTTTCTAGATTGACGCCGATGAACACGGTGTTTGTAAAAAATATGCTATGCGTTCGTATTATTATTTTTAAACCAATCTCGCGCGAGAATTGTCAACTTCGATTGGAGAAGCACTTTATTCTACCGTATAGTGTGCTGTGCTTCGTTTAGTATTTCGCCGCCGCCTGCTCTGTAAACTAACTAGGTACTTACTCAGTGACAACTGGTTTAAAATTTTGAATTTCGCGGTAAGTCATGTTTTTTATTTTTATTTTATATATTTTAATAATAATATTTTTGTTTGTTTGGTGATTTATTAAATTTTATTTATTAAATTATTTGTTTCATGCTATAAATATTTCAACAACATTATTTATACTTAACATTTATTTTTTTCACAATATGGGATTGTATTAAATTTAGTAGTAGAGTATATTTTTAGGTTTTAATTTATTAACTTTAAAATATAAATTATACATAGTATTATACATTATAAAAAAATAAAATTATTTTATAGGTTCCAAATATTTAGTGTTAGTGTTAAAACGAGTCAGATAAATTTAAATAATATCCACCGGTTATTTAATAACTTAACGATATTTTTTACTATTCTTGTAATAAAAATTCTAAAATATAAGTAAGTTGCCTTAGCTTAAAAACTTGCAAGAGTTGTAAAGGTTAAGGCAAATATTTTTTAAATTAATAATAATTAGTATGTTGGAATTTGTTGACACATGTTTTTTTTATTTAATAATATAAATTAATTAGATTTTTTTTAATAAAAATATTTTATATATAAGTAAAGAGCTATTTGCTATTTTCTTGTAATTAACTTTTAGTATTTATTAGTTTTTACTACTTTTTAGTTTTATTTCAAGTCTTTATTTTTCTTAATTTTGTTTTTAAAATGTTTCAATGATTAACATATGCAAATATTTTTTTACATATAATATATCTAATTTATTTAAGAAAACTATTTATTTTGTAACTAAATTTAAAGTTTATTGCATAAATTTGCTATAAAAACTATATTTTTGATATAATTTTAATTAAAAAATAAATGCTTGTGTAAGAAATAGTTTCATGACCCTAGATAAAATACCAAATTTTCGCGATGAACCAAGAGTTTACAACAAAATGGCATTTTCATTAAAAAAATAATAATTCCGAAACGACGAATTTAGCCAATTTTGCTGAAAGTTGTTTATCAACTTCAAAAGAAAAAAATATGAAGTAAAAAAATGTGGCAATGTCAAAATTGTTACCTCAATTTTTGTTGTCTTTTTTTAGGAAAAACAATTTAAAAAAATTGAGTAAATTTTTTTATATTTTTTTTGTATACAATATGTAGTAAACATTTACCTACAATTTAAAAAGATAAATTGTAACGATAGAAACATTTTTGGCCAAGTTATCGCATTTTCAAAAATCTATGTTTCTGTCCGTTTTTCAAAAATTTTCTACGGGTGAACATAACAAATTTAAGCATAAAGGAAAAATACAGGTCTCATCGATTTCGGTAGAGAAAAAAAAATGTTAAAAGATAACAACGTACCATTTTTTGGCTGGACGATTTGAGATGGAAAGGCCCATAGGTATTTATTTTGGAATGGCGTTAATTTATTTATTACCTATATTGGTTACCATTCGTATTCGCCGTGGGCAAATGGAATAGTTTCAAAATTATGCATTCTTTGTCAAACTGACACGTTATGACGTTCTGTTAGTAAGTGTTATTTTTGACTTAACGAGCCGTAGGCGAGTTATAAAACTTAAAAATGCAAAAAGTGGCTTTTTATTCAAGTTGCATACATTATGTTTTCTAATACCATAATAATTTTATCAATAATTACTAAAAGTATACCTAAAGATAAAATGTTGACATTTACAATTATTTTATTTTGAAATGTATGTCTAAACTCGTTTTAAAATTTATTTACGCCTTATAAATAAATTGTATTGTCAATATTAATAATAATAACAGTATAAATAATACACTGTTTAAAATATCTGTGGTGTAAAAAGTAATCTTAAAATGGTGTCAAAATCCAACACCAAGTGGTGTTAATGTAACACCATGAATTATGGTTGAAAATGTTTTATACAACAAACACCAAAACGGTGTTTATCTAAAAATATTTGAGAAGTGCACCTACACAGAAAAAAAGGAATAGTTAGTTCATTTAACTATATTAATTTAGTTGACCCATAAGTATTCATTTAAATCAACTGTGGGAAGATTAATATAAACAAAGATTAGTTTGATGGTACTAAACCAGATAGTTATTTTATTTTTTTAAATTGGTTAAATTAACCCGGAAAACTTTAGTGAAACAAACCCGCTGTATGGTTCAGTTTACTAAATATGTTGTTTGTAAAATAAGAGTTACTTCAACCTAAAGCACTCTGTTAAAACGATTAAAACAATTTGCCGTGCATTCCTGGTTACATAGTGTGTACCGATCGCGGCAAAGGCGGTGTGTATCACGTGATGTTCTTAAATCTCGCCTCTGTTGACTTACATGAAGAGTATATAAGCTCAGGTAGTCCTTTGCTTTGGTGTGACACTACAAGTTGTTCGATACTAAAGAGACCTTAAATAGGTGGAGACCTTAAATAGGTGGAAACAGCTGTCAATACTTGAAGTATTTTAAGTTGGTGGAACGCACTAAAAACATTATCTCTAGCGAGTTGAAGGTTCAATTTTCTTGGATAATACCACCGGTAATATACTTGTAATGCGTCAAGGAACTTCCTGTTTCCTTTTTTTCTGTGTATACTATAGTATGATTTAATTTGACCAAAAACACGTGTTTTTAATATACATTATATTTAACACTGAAAAGGGGTTCAATTTACACCAGGTAAAATTTATTTTAATACTGTGTGAAAGTTAAATTTACACCATTTTAGTATTTGAATTTACACCGGACCAACAAACCTTATTTAACACCATTTTGGTTTGTATCGATATAGACAATGTATGGTGTTAATTTGGTGTTAAAATGGTCATGAAATTTTAACAGTGTAGTATAATCCCAAGCAACAATTTAAGTATTTGTTACGTATTGCGACAGTCGCCGGTCTCTTTATATTACTCTTTCATTACTAAGTTACGACTAAAGTGGGGAACAATTATTGAGTTCCAAAAAGGTAGCAAATATGTCACTATAGTGACATATTTGCTACCTTTTTAGCTATAGCTATAAACCCTGCTACTATTTGGAACGTAGCTGCTACGTTACTAGAACGTTCCAATATCGTTGCTAGAGCGTTATAATTACTTTTATTATTTGTTTTAACTTCTATATTAACTGTCTTTGTCAAACTTATATTAGATTATACTATCCCTACTTTTTTAAATGGAACCACTACGGACTTGGCTTTTCAATGTCGTCGTTTATTAAATATGTACTGGTAGTTTATAACTTCCAGAATAACAAAAAATAATAATTAGACAGGTAAATTTATAAAACCTTTAAATTTTACTGTTGAACTTATGAATTTAGTTTTTGTAAAATAAATGCGCTTCATCAATATTTAAGTATAAACAAATTATATATTTAGTAATGTTTAAAAATAAAAAAATCTTAATATTTATTATTATTTTTTTTATTTAATTATTAATACCGTCTATTACCAACAAAATTACTATTTATTAAAAAGTAAACAACCATTTACAAACAATTAAAATAGTTTATTATTTACATTACCACGTGCTACTGTACAGTAAAAAATGGCCGATAAGAAGCATTTTCCTTTGAAGTAGTTTTCGCTACTTTAAAGTTTTTTTCCACTTTACGGTTGTTTTGGTTAGTACCATAAACGTTCCAAATACTAAAATAATAACTTTTAAGTTATTAACTTTGTAGTTTTTAACTCATGTTCCAGTTTCGAGATTTTAACTTGCAAAGGGACTACAAAGTAAAAATAATTATAATGTAATCTTTAGGTAGCAAGCGAAAGTAACTGCTACAAATTAAATTTACTTTAAAGTTTTTTTTACTTATAACACCTTTTTTAAAGTTGCAAAGTCTTCTTGGGGGCAACCAAGTTTTACTTAAATGTTTATTACTTTATAGTAACCATTTAAGGAAAAATTAAATTTCTGTTACAAAATATTGCTATTTAAAAGTTATAGTTACTTTTAAGTAAAAATTAAAGTAGCTGTTTAGTATAATTAACTAATTTAAAGTTATCACCACTTTGGCAATGGTTTTTGGAACCAAAAATGCTGTTTGGGATTATGTATCAAGTTTGATAAACGCCATTTTATACACGAATTTAATTTAGGCAAAGTGGTCGTACCCAAAAAATCTGTGACCTACTTTATCGACAACCCCTAAATTTTATACAACAGAATTTTTTTATTAATTTTAAACTTATTTTTTGTATTATTTATTTTTAATTTATATTGAATGCAAAGTTAAAACACGCCATCTGGTTTTTGGTTTAAATTTATATTTTTTTTAATAGGCGATATGCATTTTATACTAAAACAAAAATTAAATTGATTTTTAATGAAATAATTAATAACCTGAAAATAACCTTAATGTTTACAATGTAAAAAATAAAACGATAAGATTTGTATTTTTATTGTTATAATTTGTACAAACATAATAATTTTATATTATTTTTTGCAAATATATCCGACACTCTAAATTTGCCATCTCTAAAACTTAACGCCAACAACATTACACGCATTAACTCAAATATGTTTTTATACCCCTCAAATGCTGTTGAAGTGCATAACATTATAAATAACTTAAAAAATAAAAAATCCACTGGTTGGGATGAAATTCCAACAACTATTATTAAAAGATGCGCACATAGCCATATTATAAATCTTTGTTTTCAAAATGGTATTTTTCCGTATAGTCTAAAGTTGGCTATTGTCAGGGTTTTGCATAAAAAAGGTCCTGAAACTGATTTTAATAACTACCCAGGTAGCATACTGACGTCTGCTGACGTTTAAATGACGTCATTTCAACGTCATTTAAACGTCAGCAGAGGTCAAAAAATTTAGAAATATCAATATCTACAAGATTAATAAAATATTGTAATAAACATTCCATAATTTCTAAATATCAATATGGTTTTGTTAAAGGTGGTAATACGGAATTAGCAATTTTCAATTTTATTGATAGAATCATGGACCTTTGGAAAAGCAAAACCCTTTTTTGACTTATCTAAAGCCTTTGATACTATGGATAAAGAACTATTGATGTTAAAATTAGAAATATATGGC